CAGTTATTATTGTCAACAATACTTTTTTTTTTTCCAATATCCCTCGTGTTGGTACAAGTGTTGTTTTATATTCACATCCTTTAGTTTTTAAGGCTACTAGTAATTAAGTCTTCTTACTCTCAGTGTGAATTGATGCCCCCATTTTTTTGGTGGACAAGATTAGGTTCATTGCTAATGAACCGGAAAATTAACACTTCACACAGGTTTTATTAGTCTTCAGGTCACCATTTTCAGCCTGTTAAGACAAGTAAGTGCAATTTCTACCATTATGAAGAATTGTACTTAAAAATTCTCCCTAATGAGCAGTTAATAGAGCTGTTGGTATAGTTAGGTGGTCATGTTTTTCTTAGCTTCACAAAAGAAATTAACAGATGAGGTCTTAGACCCTGTTCTCACTTTGTGGAGTCTTTTGAGCTGAAGTGTTGTTTATGTTTTTTGTGCCTTGTTTTAAGAAATTCATCCCCATCTCAAAGATATAAAAATATTCTATATTTTGTTCTAACAAAACTTTACTTTTCATACTTAGATCTTTAATCTACCCGTAATCTGTTTTTGCTGATAGTGTGAGGTGTGAAATCTGGTTTTATTTTTTTTCCCACATATATAACCAGTTGTCTCAGCACCAGCTATTAAATAGTGCACTTTTCGTGTTGGTTTGCCCTCTGCCATATGCTAAGTTTCCATATATACATGAGTAAACTTCTGTATGTGGTAGGGTTTCTTTATTTACAAATATTTCTATAAATATTTCCATGATATATACATTTCTCATATAAAATTATATTAGTATGGAATATCATTTAGTAGTGGTAGAATTTGTAACTAACAACTTTCAAACATTTTGAAAACTTAGTACGATTATGAAGGACTATGAGCATGTAATGTGCAGATTTTCATGAAGAGGAAATAAAATATTACGACTAGTTTAAATAGGATGTTTTGAAGAATTATTACTATAACCAATTAATATAATTTATGAGACCAATTTTTTTTCCTCTGAAATGACTTCCAGAAAGTCTTTACTGAGTTGAAATCCTATTGTTTCAATAATGGAACAGTGTACAAAAAAAGTTTGCCGTGGGAAATTGCAAAAAAGGAGGAGGAATAATAATAGGAAGAACTTTATTCAACCTGCAAGCATTCAGTTCCTCTCTCCTCTCCTAGGCATGGTACCTAGGGACTTGGGATGTGAAGGCGAATCACCATATTCTCAAGGAACTCAAGAGCTGTTGTTAGGTGCCGTGGAGTCAACTCCAACTCATAGCGACTCCATGTATAACAGAACAAAACGTTTCTCTGTCCTGTGCCATCCTCACAATAGTAGGTATATTTGAGCTTGCTGTTGCAGCCACCGTGTCAGTCCATCTCGTTGAGGGTCTTCCTCTTTTTTGCTCGCCCTCTACTTTTATCAAGCATGGTGTCCTTCTCCAGGGACTGATCCTTCCTGATTACATGTATAAAGTAAGCAAGACGAAGTCTCATCATCCTTGCTGCAAAGGAGCATTCTGGCTATATTTCTTCTAAGACAGATTTATTCATTCTTCTGGCAGTCCATGGTATATTCAGTATTCTCCTCTAACGCCATAATTGAAATTCATCCATTCTTCCTTGGTCTTTCTTTTTCATTGTCCAGCTTTACACACATATGAGGCAGTTGAAAGTATCGTGGATAGGGTCAGGTGTACCTTAGTCCTCAAGGGGACATCTTTGCTTTTCAACACTTTAAAGAGGTCTTTTGCAGCAGATTTGCCCAATGCAATGCATCATTTGATTTCTTGACTACTGTTTTCCATGGGCGTTGATTATGGATCCAAGTAAAGTGAAATCTTTGACAACTTCAGTCTTTTCTCTGTTTGTCATGATGTTGCTTATTGGTCCAGTTGTGATGATTTTTGTTTTCTTTATGTTGAGGTGTAATCCATACTGAAGGCTGTAGTCTTCGATCTTTATCAGTAAGTGTTTCAAGTCCTCTTTGCGTTCAGCAAGCAGGGTTGTGTCATCTACATATTGCGGGTTGTTAATGAATCTTCCTCCAATCCTGATGCCATATTCTTCTTCATATAGTCCAAATTCTTGAATTATTTGCTCAGCATACAGATCGAATAAGTATGGTGAAAGGACACAGCCTGGCACATACCTTTTTGTATTTTAAACCACAGAGTATTGCTTTGTTCTGTTTGAATAACTGCCTCTTGTTCTGTGTATAGGTTTTGCATGAGCACAGTTGTGTTCTGGAATTCCCATTTTTCTCAGTGTTATCCATCATTTGTTATGATCCACACAGTCAGATGCTTTTGTGTAGTCAGTAAAACACAGGTAAACATCTTTCTGGTATTCTCTGCTTTCAGCCAAGATCCATCTGATGTCAGCAATGATATACCTCATTCTAGATCCTCTTCTGAATCTGGCTTGAATTTCTGGCAGCTCCCTGTTGATGTCCTGCTGCAGCCGTTTTTGAATTACCGTTAGCAAAATTTTGCTTGCATATGTTATTAATGAGATTGTTTGATAATTTCCTTGTTCTGTTCGATCACCTTTCTCTGGAATGGGCACAAATATGGTTCTCTTCCAGTCAGTTGGCCAGTAGCTGTCTCCCAAATTTCTTGGCATAGACAAGTGAACGCTTCCGGCATTGCATCCATTTGTTGAAACATCTCATTTGGTATTCTGTTGATTCCTGGAGCTTTGTTTTTCACCAGTGTCTTTGACATAGCTTGGACTTCTTCCTTCAGTACCATCAGTTCTTGATCATATGCTACCTCTTGACATGGTTGAATGTCGACTAATTCTTTTTTATACAGTGACTTTGTATTCCTTCCATCTTCTTTTGATGCTTCCTGTGTTGTTCAGTTTTTTGCCCATAGAATCCTTCAGTATTGCAACTCGAAGCTTGAGTTATTTCTTCAGTTCTTTCAGCTAGAGAAATGCTGAGCATGTTCTTCCCTTTTGGTTTTCTTACTCCAGGTCTTTGCACATTTCATTATAATACTTTACTTTGTTTTCTCAAGCTGCTCTTTGAAATCTTCTGTTCATCTCTTTTACTTCGTTATTTCTGCCTTTTGCTTTAGCTACACTACATTCAAGAGCAAGTTTCAGAGTCTTTTCTGGCATCCATTTTTGTCTTTTCTTTCTTTCTTGTCTTTTTAATGACCTTTTGCTTCTTCATGTATAATGTCCTTGATGTCATCTCACAGTTCATCTAGTCTTCAGTCACTAGTGTTCAGTGTTTCAAATCTGTTCTTGAGATGGTCTCAAAATTGAGGTGGGATATATATTCAAGGTCATACTTTGGCTCTCGTGGACTTGTTTAATTTTCTTCAGCTCCAGCTTGAACTTGTATATAAGCAATTGATGGTGTGTTCTGCAGTCAGCCCCTGGCCTGTTTTAACTGATAATACTGAGTTTCTCTCCACAGATATAGTCTATTTGATTCCTGTGTAATTTCATCTGGTGAGGTCCACATGTATAATTGTTGCTTATGTTGTTGAATAGAGGTATTTCTGATTAATAAGTTGTTGGTCTTGTATCATGCAATCTCTGGCATCGTTTCTGTCACCAAGGTCATGTTTTACAACTACTGATCCTTATCTGTTTCCAACTTTTGCATTCCAATCACCAGTAATTATCAATATATCTTAATTGCTTGTTTGATCAATTTCAAACTGCAGAAGTTGGTAAAAGTCTTCAATTTCTTCATCTTTGGCATTAGTAGATGGTGTGCAAATTTGAATAATAGTTGTATTTACTGGTTTTCCTTGTGGGCATATGAATAATCACTGACAGCATTGTGCTTCAGGATAAATCTTGAAATTTTCTTTTTGAAGATGAGTGTGATGCTGTTCCTCTTCAATTTATTTTCCTGGCCTACTAGACCATATGATTGTCTGATTCAAAATGGTCAATACCAATCCATTTCAGCTCATTAATGCTTAGGATATAGATCTTCAAACATTCCATTTCATTTTTGATGGCTTCCAGTTTTCCTAGATTCATACTTCGTACATTCCATATTCCAGTTACTAATGGATGTTTGCAGCTGTTTCTCTCATTTTGAGTCATGCCATATCAGCAAACGAAGGTCTGAAAAACTGTATTCCATTCGTGTCATTAAGGTTGACTCTGCTTTTAGGAAGCAGTTCTCCTCCAGTTGTATTTTGAGTGCCTTCCAGCCTGAGTGGCTCATCTTCCGGCAGTATATCAGACAATGTTCCATTGCTGTCCATAAGGTTTTCACTGGCTAATCTTTTTCAGAAGTAAATTGCCAGGTCCTTCTTCCTGATCTGTCTTAGTCTGGAAGATCTACTGAAGCCTGTCCACCATGGGTGACCCTGCTGGTATGTGAAATACCAGTGGCATAGCTTTCTAAATTCACAGCTACACACAAGCCACCACAGTACGACTAACAGACAAGTGGTGGAACTCAAGAGCAGAGAGGGAAATTGTCTAGACTTTCTCCAGATAACTCATCAGATTATGGAGCTCTTTTTTATTCATTTTTACAGATGTTTAAATATTCTAAAATATGTTTAAGTTGTTGAGGAGTTGACTATGCTTGTGATTCTGCCAGTTGTACTTGTGTCAGCCTTCTATTCTGCGTGAGTGTTTTGCCATTTATTGGGACGTAGACTAGTGAGTAGGCAGAGGAAGGGAAGCACATGAATCAGTGGTGACCATGGGCATGGGCCTGTGTAGGATAGAGTTAGGAAAGACATGGACGCTGGCCGTTATATTAAGGATAAAACAATAAGTAAGGTGTGAAAAGAAAAGAGCAGATTAGGGGTTGTTCTTTAAGCATCGTCAAGTATTTTTGAATGCCAGTTATATATTAGGCAGCACTCTACTGGGTGACAGTAGAAGAGAAGTCCTCTTTCCTCACAGAGCTTATATGCTTAAGAAAACTCTCAGGTGTCATTGTTCAGAAGTTAAAGGATTAAAACTGTGAGTATAATAAAACTTTTGTGGAAGTACTTTTTAATGTGATTTTTTTTTTTCCCCTTCAGAAAATGGCTCCAGAGGTTAAATGAAGCTGGAAAAGTACGTAGATGCAGCATTGCAGCCTCTTCAGATGTTCGGGGACAATATCCCAGAGAGAAATTGATCCCCCTGGATTAGGTGACCAGTCATAATGAAGAAAATTAGTCTTAAAACCTTCCGGAAATCTTTTAACTTGAGTAAAAGTAAAGAGGAAACTGATTTCATGGTAGTGCAACAACCTTCACTTGCCAGTGATTTTGGGAAAGATGATTCCTTATTTGGTAGCTGCTACGGTAAAGATATGGCCAGCTGTGACATCAACAGTGAAGATGAAAAAAGTGGAAAAACTAGATCAAAAAGTGAAAGCCTCATGGGTACGCTCAAAAGGCGACTTTCTGCGAAACAGAAGCAGAGAGGCAAGGGTGGCGCACCCTCCGGGAGCTCGGCCGATGAGGACACCTTCTCTTCCTCCTCAGCCCCGATCATGTTTAAAGACGTGAGAGCCCAAAGGCCCATACGGTCGACCTCTCTCCGCAATCACCACTACAGCCCGACCCCGTGGCCTCTGCGGCCCACGAACTCCGAGGAGACGTGCATCAAGATGGAAGTGAGGGTCAAAGCCCTGGTCCACTCCTCTAGTCCCAGTCCAGCCCTGAACGGGGTCCGGAAGGATTTCCATGACCTGCAGCCTGAAACTGTGTGCCAGGAGCAGACCAGCTCCCTGAAGAGCGCAGACTCTCAGAACGGGGACCTGCATCTTCACCTTGACGACCATGTGCCTGTAGTTATTGGACTCATGCCTCAGGACTACATCCAGTACACTGTGCCTTTAGATGAGGGGATGTATCCCCTGGAAGGGTCGCGGAGCTATTGTCTGGACAGCTCTTCCCCCATGGAAGTCTCTGCAGTCCCTCCTCCAGGGGGAGGGAGCTCTTTCCCCGAAGACGAGAGTCAGGTAGACCAGGACCTGGGCGCAGCCCCAGATGTCTTTGCGGACCAGCCGGTGAGCGGCTTGTTGATTGGCACCACGGGAGTCCTGTTGCAGAGCCCCAGAGCGAGGCACGAGGATGTCCCCCCACTCTCACCATTGCTACCTCCAATGCAGAATCATCAAATCCAAAGGAACTTCAGCGGACTCCCTGGGACAGATGCCCATGTATCTGAAAGTGTACGCTGTCATTTGAATTTCGATCCCAGCTCTGCTCCTGGGGTGGCAAGAGTCTATGACTCAGTACAGAGTAGTGGTCCTATGGTGGTGACAAGCCTGACTGAGGAGCTGAAAAAACTTGCAAAACAAGGATGGTACTGGGGACCGATCACTCGCTGGGAGGCAGAAGGGAAGCTAGCCAACGTGCCAGATGGCTCTTTTCTCGTCCGGGACAGTTCTGACGACCGTTACCTTTTAAGCTTGAGCTTCCGCTCCCATGGCAAAACACTTCACACTAGGATTGAGCACTCGAATGGAAGGTTTAGCTTCTACGAGCAGCCCGATGTGGAAGGACACACGTCGATAGTTGATCTCATCGAACATTCAATCAGGGACTCTGAAAATGGAGCTTTTTGTTATTCGCGGTCTCGGTTGCCCGGTTCTGCGACCTACCCGGTCAGGCTGACCAACCCGGTGTCGCGGTTCATGCAGGTGCGCTCCCTGCAGTACCTGTGCCGTTTCGTGATACGGCAGTACACCAGGATAGACTTGATCCAGAAACTGCCTTTGCCAAACAAAATGAAGGACTATCTGCAGGAGAAGCACTACTGAAAGATTGAGGACCCTGCATATTGCACTTTGGGAACAAGAAAAAGAGATTGAAGTACCGTTTACAAACTTTCATTGCTATCAAAATCTTGTGCTGCCGTAACTATTTCAGTTTTCTGTGTAGAAGAGTCATCAGCTTGTGTAGAGGTGGGGAAGTGTCGGCAAGGTATCTTGGGTTTATTTTGGTTCTTTCAAAAGGGAAGTCCGGAAGTTTTAGAAGTGAATTATCTTTCCTCAGTGTGCAGAATAATCACAATGTGAATGATCAGATTCTCCTTAATCCCCCCTCCAAGTCCTTTGCTGCTATCCACTGTGATTTTTATGCATTAAAAGCACATTTCATGTGTATTCAACCCTAAGTAAAGTTGAATGAAAACTTATAGAATGAAAATTTTTGTCTCTTTAAACGGCCCATTTTCAAAAGGTAGTGTTGAAGAAGCAAACCCGTGTGATAAAACACAGAATTTACATGTACACTGAACATGATTTTGTAATCTCATTCCTTAGATTTATTTAGAATTATGAATTGACATCATTTTGGGTAACGGAAGGCAGAGCTGCAACATGTCTTACAACACTCATTTCTAAATTATTTTTAAGGTTGTACTAGTTTTTTGGTTGTGAAAAGTTGTATTTTTCTGTTGCTTTCATTTTCATCTTATAGTTTGTCTATTTTAAAAAATGGCCTTACATTAAAAATTCTTAAATGTATACCACCCTTTAGAAATTGTTGCCTTTTCTGTCATTAAACTCTGGTACAAATTGGCATAAACATAAAGACCTGTGGAACTACAGCTCTTATTAAAGAAATACTAGTTGATCATAGTTTCCTGTGATAGCAGTTTTTTTTGTGTGTGTGTGTTATCTGTACTTTCCTTTGGTAAAATGTTTTATCTGTGATTTATTTAGCCTTAGTCAACATTTTCTTGGGTAGAACTTGATTATACAACTAATTTTCATTAACGAACTGGGTTATCTCACAACATTAAAGTTTATATAAAGTTTTGATTTGGATAAAAAGCAAGCATTGTTTTTAAGTTGAATTTCTATTATTCCTTTCGTAGTCACTATTAAAATATGCTAGATTCAACCCCGCCTAACTCCCCCCCAATAAAAAAACGACTCTAGTTGAAAGATTATGGAAATTGTGGAGCATGATGCAAGGAAAATACTAAAACCACATCAGATATAGGGAAGTCTTATTGCCTAACATAATATACTGCCATTTAAAAAGTTTTTGTTTTTTGTTTTGGTTTATTTTTAATTTAGCTAAGTCTCAAGTAATTTGGGATCATTAGTTAATCGTTTCCTCTCTCTGAATTGGTCATTATGGTGGTGGTGGGGGTTATCCCAATACTTTTAGTTGAAATATGGAGTGTTTATTCATTGCACAATACTGTCTTATAGCATTTTGGGATTACACTGTACAGAAAATGTTTCCAGTTACACAGCTTTAAAAGAAACGTTACCATTTCAGATGAAACATGTAATTGAAGATGTTTCTTCCTTTGTGACTTGGGGTTTTCCTCTCTCCACCCCCATTTAAACACAAGAACAAGGTCTTAGTTCAAACAAGGGTCTTTGTTGTTCAAACATGTCTGTATCCCCACTTTTTTCTCTGTTTGTTTTTAGGGTCAGAACTGCATATTATCAAGAAAAGGTGTAATGCCATAACACCATAGTGTTGTGATATTTTGACTTAAAGGGGAAAAGGTACTTAATTTTGGTAGACTGTTGATTGTACCTTGTTATGGTGACTCCTGTTTGATTTTCTGATATGTTTTCACCTAGTAAGATGGAATATGCAGTATACTGTAATAATATAAATGTTCACTATAAGCTATTTGGATTAAGAACTATTACAGAGTTGTGAACTTGTTACAAATTAATGCAAGACATTTAAGCTATTTTTTTTGCAAAACTATTTATTTTTAAACAATTTAAGATATATCTAGGGTGAGTTAAAAGTCCCTGTGCATCTATATTAGATGGCAGGTATTGTCAGAGAGTCACTGTGTATTAATAAGTGTTGACATGGCTTATCCACGTTTCTAGAAGCATTTACATGTACTCTTTGTGAAATCGTGGTGCACAGAGGTCTTTGGGCTGCCCGGAACCCTGCTTTATCATGTGGACATAGCCTGTTCCCCGTGTTTTCCTCATGATGCCATATGTCTAACATCGAGCCATTTAGTGTCAAGATTATTCTGGTTTTCATCTAAAAGTTTTTAAATTTATGTTTTGTGCATTTTTGGAGGGCAAGTCTTGATACTGTTCTAATTCAGAAAGCCAATTTTTGATGTGCTTTTGTATATCCATAATATAAAATACTTAAGTATGCCTTGTTATAATCCAATTTGAAGTTGTTAGGTTCTGATAGTATATTGGTAAAAATCAAATTAATTAATTAAATTTAAAAACAGAGAAGAATATTGCAGTATTTTCTGCTTTTGTATAGAGAGATCCATTTGGCATAGATAGCACAACACAGTGTGAAAGATTGGCTGTACAGGATGTTAGAACAGTCTGGTTAAAAATGGAAGGGGAAAAACAGAGTTTGTCTTCATCTTGTAGTTTGGTCTAGATACAATTTGATTAAAGTTTTGAATTCTACTGAATGGTGACTTAGATGACATATGGACACAACCTATGATTTTTAAATATGTGCGTCTAAAAAATCTGAACTCAAGGCAAGGAAAAAGAAAACAGGAAAGCTGAATCAATTTCTCATAATAAATGGATCAGAGTTTCGTTTTTTTTTTTCCCCAAATGTTTCATTATAAAACACAATGGAGGCCAGAAGCTATTTTCAGGCTTACTTGGGATACTATTACACATTTTTACAAATAGTAAGAAAGCTGTAGAAAGTACTTGATAAATCTCTCTCTTACTGTTTCTCTTTCTGTCTAAGGAAAACTCTATTTGGTGCAATAATCTGAAATCTTAGAAGGTCAAAAATACTTATCACAGGAAATGATCACAGAACTAAAAATAGTTTTAAAGGAAACCACCTACACAGAACAACCATCTTGCTCTTAAAGAAAATAATGTGCCAAAAAGCTAAATCATTGGCATATAGTAAATAAAATACAAAGTATACATTATAATTTCTGAGCAAGTATTAATGAAACAGAATAAGTTACTAAAATCTTAACTAGGTTATATGTAATGTCTCTACTAGTCCTACAAGTCTAAATATTAACAATGCTTTCAGAAATGCCAATGTTAAATTATTGTACATTTGGCACGATAATGATGAGAGGTATTGCTTTATGATTCAAAAATTTTTCATTTGAATCTTAATTGCTTTTCATTGAATGTGAATTCTTAATTTGAAAATGAGATCACACTACCAGCAACAGAGAGTTTTGTTGAATACGGTAATAAGGAACAATCACCAGTTCCATAAGTAACTTAAAAATTCTAAAAGTATTGATACTCTAGTAATCACAAATATGGTTTCTTTTAATACTTTTTTAATCCTGTAAAGAAGGTTTTATAAACATTATTTTTATTAATCATAACCTGGTAGTTGCTGTTTCTGAAAAGTTCCAAACTCTACATCCCGAGGTGATAAAAGAATTCTTACAGAATTTCGTAATTAATTATACATATCGGGTTAAAGAAGTTTTATAGTCATGTCGGAGTGCCATGAAATTAACACTTGCAATCCAGATTGCTGTAGTTTACACTTTTTCTGTGTTTCAAATCAGGTGTGTACCATTTGTACCGGGAACACCACAGTGTGAATGATCCAAAGTCCATTGATTTTAATATGTGTTTTGATTTGTAAACAAATTATAGTAATTTCTTGCACATTTTTGGAAATTGTTTAAGAATTTATGTATCTGCTTCTAGATACAATGTAAATAAAAATTTAGTTCACAAAGCCTGCCTAGTAGTCTTATTTAATACCGTGAAGCAGAGTGGTTTCCAATGCTGTAAATCTTCATGGCAGCAGACTGCCACATCGCTCTCCTGGGGAGCGGCAGGTGGGTTTGAACCCCCAGCCTTTCGGTTAGCAGCCAAGCGCTTAACCACTGTGCTACCAGGGCTCAAGTTTTAATTAGTGTAGGATCAGCTAGGTAATTTCTGGGTGTCCAATGACCTGGGCCAAGAACGGAGGGGGCGGGCAGCAACTTTTAGTAAAAGGAGGAGTGGTGTCACTGCGATTTTTTTGTATTAACTCACGGGAGACATCAAATGAGGAATACAGTCCCTGTTGCTAATATTCTGAAGCCTTTAGCATAAAGGATGGAGTGAGTTGGTGGAACGTCTCATAAACAGACTAATTTAAATCAATACAGTAATGAAATCTCACTAAAGGTTAACCTGCACTGATGCAATGTTTGGGTTGTGGTATGTTTAAAGACATATCCTCTATTCAGATCTGGTGGAAATAGAACCGGGCCATCAAAGTGCGTCTGTGTAGAGGTCATTGAGAAATGTCTTCATAGATAAGAAAGAATTCTAATTATATCCACTGCATTTAGATGTATGCCTTTAAAATTCTTAAACATCATGTTAGGTTAAACATTCTTTTTGAAATTTTCTATTTTTAACAAATCCTTTTTTAAAAAAATAGCTAATTAAAAGATGAATTTTAACCTGACTGTTCAGAATATATCACAAATTTTGACATTAATAGAATTTAAATAACGTGAAGTTCTAACCACATTTTCCAGAGCTGGTATCAATGAACCACACTGACTTTAGTGTCAGTCTTTGCTTATGATGGTGCTAATGAAATACAGAATTTTGAGAAGAAAATGGTCAGGCCTCAAATTGTATAAAAGAATAGATTTTACAAGTTTGGTTTTTTTTTTTTTTTTTTGGTTTATAGCTTGGTAAACCAATTTTTCCTTTTTTAAACGAGGCTATTGTTTCGTTCTCATCGACCCCTTCCTTTTAATTTTCATTGTACTTGCCAATTTTTTAAGCATACCTTCCTTTATTTGCTCCATGAGACAGAGGAATAGGGAAGTTGGCCTCCGGGCTGAGTTCCTTGTAGGTTTATAAGCTTGTGGCTCTGAAACCAACACTCGGGAGGGAAGGGAGCAGAGGAGAACTCTAGCCTCCTGGAAGATGAAAAGCTGCTGCAGTGGCGGCAATTGATTGACAACACAGGCTACCTCAGAACCTCCGTAGTGCAGCCTTGTGCCGACCAGAGACAAGTTGACTCCCTGCCACCTCCACCTTTAAATTCTTAACTTTTTTTTTAAAAAAAACTCACAGGTTTTACTTTGATTAACTTAGGTTTTTCCTAGACTTTCAGCATTCTGAATAAAAAATATTTTAACTTGTGATCCATATGAATTTAGCTCCTTGTTGCTAGGTGCCATCGAGTCAGGTCCAACCCATAGTGACCCTACGTACAACAGAACGAAACGTTGCCCAGTCCTGTGCCATCCTTACAATTGTTGCTGCGTTGAACTGCATCTTGAACTCTAGTAGTTTCCTGTGGCTGCCGTAACAAAGTACCCATTATTGTGGCCATTGTTGAGCCCATTGTTGTAGCCACTGTCAGTCCATCTCATTGAAGGTCTTCCTCTTGTTTGCTGACCCTCTACCAAGCATGATGTCCTTCTCCAGGTTCTGGTCCCTCCTGATACCATGTCCAAAGTAAGCAAGACGAAGTCTCGCCATTTGTCACTTCTATGGAGCATTCTGGCTGTACTTCTTCCTCCAAGACAGATGTGTTCGTTCTGACAGTATTCTTCACCAATACCGTAATTCAAAGACATCAATTATTCAGTCTTCCTTACTCACTGTCCAGCTTTCGCATGCATATGAGGTGATTGAAAACACCATGGCCTGGGT